GGGGTTGTAATGGGGTGCGTTACATTCCCAAGTATTGGGTAATGGCAGCTCCGAGTTTCCGCGATGGCAGTTCCTCAACCGTTGGATTTTTCGTGGCTTTCTGGATATTTTGTTTTTTGTTTTTTGTTTTTTGTTTTTTTGTTTTTATCTCAGTTTCCAGCAGTTATATTTATATTTTGATATTTAATGACCATCCATTTACAAAGTCCCCGTTTGGTTCAACTACAAAAATTTAATTAAAACGTAAGTTAGATACAACAATTAATTTTAATCACATATTCCATTAAGTTTTATCAAATCTCCTAAAAATATGGTTTTGATCTAAATTTAAGGGAAAAAAATCATGTAATATGATACATCCTCGAGGGTGTGGATAGTACATCGAATTTGACAAAGTAAAGATTAATTTAGCCCCTATTTAGTTTAGATTAAAATTAAATTTTGAGTAGATTTAGATCAAAGTTGCTTATACGTGTTATTTAAAAATTATAGGTTGCTCCGAGTTTCCGCCAATTCTCTAAGAAAAAGTTATATGTCTTTGCTAACATAACAAAAAAATACTGAGAACTGTTCTTTGCAAAACATTTTTGTGGAAATCACAAGCACGAGAGCATTTCCTCAAAAACAAGAATATAATGTAAAGTTACACATCTACAGTTTTGTTCGAGTAAAATTGACATTCAACTTATTTTTCTTTATTTATGTCGTTAGCACTTGTTAAATTTTTCTCTGAGTGACCTTTCACAAAAGCAAATCACAATGATGTTTACCATAAAAAATTTACAAACCTCTTCATGATCTTGTTACAAAAATTGTACATCCCACATTGCATGAACAAGAAAATTCAATGAATGACTAACCAACTTTAAATTGTATTCGTTTCTTTTCCCCACTTGCAATCACCAATTGAACCCACCTGCATGCTGACAGCTTGCAATGTCCCACCCCAGTTGGCTACATTGCCACACACACGCAATTTTGGTAAGGCTTTCTAGAAATAGTAAGCATTGGTGATTGGTCTCATTGCCAAATAGGGCATTTCTTTCTTTTTTTTTTTTTTGAAGGATAAATGGATTTAAGGACCAACCTTCTATTCCTAAGGAAATACAGAAATCATTCTATATCAGAATGATGACGATATTAAGGCATTTTCACCCAAATTGGGATTCGTGGGGTTCTCCAAAAGATTGTATTCAAATTAAATTCCTCGAACAAAATGATGACATTGTGAAAGAAATTGCTATTTACAAGGAAAATGTTGGCAAATAATGATTTTACCGTGCAATAATTTGTGAATAAAAAGTTGGACAGAATACCGACTTGTAAAAATGAACGAAATAAAATGAAAATGGTCGAGGTAAAAGTTCGACTCTTTCTCCTTAAAACGATAATATCCCGAACTGGTGTTGACGGTCTTCCGGCACTCGTCTCTCAAAATACAATGACCTTAACTTGTAATAGTAGCACTCCAAATTATAAGA